CGTGTGGCGGCCCGCCCTCCTCTCCTCCCCCATCGAGCGGGCCAGCCGCCTTTCCTTCTCCGCCCTTTTCCAGGACCTGGAGCAGTATGTCCAGGACGCCGGCGTCCGGTGGGAGTACTGCGTGCGGGCGAAGCGGGGCCAGACCGACACCTCGCAGCCAGGTACCACTCAGACAGTGATAAGTGTCGGGTTTTGGAAAGGATTTTTTTTTTTTTTTTTTTTTTTTTTTTGAAAAGCGGATTTTAAATTTGAAAGTTTAAAGTACTTTTCCTTAGCAAAAAAATCAACACCAACCCACAGCACCCTTCAAAATGGTGGCTCTGCCCCGCCTCATCCCTCCCCATCCCCGGCACTGCTTTCCTATGAGGTTACTCTTTATGGCAGTAATCTTTTACGTGCGGTCCTGGCACATCAGCTCTTGGGCCGGGTTGGGTGGGGATGGGGTTGGATGAGGCCATAAAGTGGCTGCAGTCTGATGGGAGTGTCTCGCCCAAGCTCCCGGCGCGGCAGCAGCCAAAGGAGAGGAAAAATGAGCATTTCTGGGGACGCGTTTAGATTCTTGCCGTGGTTTAACATTAAAAAATTCATTGCATCCCAGTGAGAGGTCTGGGGCTCCCGCTGTACCTGGCTGCCTCTGTGGTCCCCGGCGCTGCTTCCCAGTGCTCCTCCTTTGGGCCCCAGCAGTCCTGCCCATGGCACCAGCAATGCCTGAGCCCTGGCACACTCGTGTCACCCTGGTCCCGGGTGGTGAGGAGCCAGGCTCCTGCTCCTCGGCCTCTCCTGCTCTTCCAGGCTGCTTCAGTAAGGACCAGGTCTACCTGGACGGAATTCTCCGCATCCTGCGCCATCGGCAGACCATCGACTTCCCGCTGCTGGCTGCGCTTGGAAAGGTAACGGCCGGGAGGGCCAGCTGATCCCAGAGCCCCATCCCAAAGCTCACGGGGGTCCCACGGTCCCGTGTTTTCCCAAAAACAAGGGACAAGGGCTGGCAGCCCTTCAGCTCTTTGCATTTAGGATGCAAGGAGGGATGGGACAATCGATCTTCCTCCCTGGGAGACCCTTGGGTTGAGGCTTAACCCCGTGGGTTAAGCTCTGCTGGCTGCGCCGCTGGACCTCTGCCTTGGCCACACTGGTCCTGCAGTGACAGAAAATGTCCAAAACCCACAAATCCTTTCAA